CACACACACACACATATATATATATAGGAATGAAGCTAAACGTATCTATATATATGACAACGATGAATCGAAGCCTAGATATTAAAGACAGACGTATCTCATCAAACGTTGCGATACTTCCAAAAGCTAAATGTTGTGCACATATAGACATTTACATACTTATTTTCTCTTGCAACGCAGTAACTTCCTTGCTCTCGTGAAGATCCTCATGCTGTGATATGGGGTTCGCTATGCGTCGTTGGGTCTGCCTCCGTAATAAGATGTGTGTTTTCACAGTTTCCGGGGTGGGTGCTGTGGGTGCCTTAAGAAGCACCTTTTGGTGCACATTCTTTAAAGATTTGGTTCGTTTAGCCATCGGGATGGGCAGGCCATCTATTTGCTATGCCGGGAAAATGTTATACGTGGGTGGTTCTTTTCATTTGAACACGAATATTCTATGTGTACATTTGTCTGATTATATCTCGGCACCCAATTGTGCAATTTGGTATGCTCTGAGAGTGCCGTATTCTCAGGTTTGAAGCTTCCTCGCGCTCAAGTATGTAAGCAGACATATGCTCCATGTGCGCGACGCACAAGATTCGATGCAACGCTAATGTATGTACTTCTGCCATTCGTTTGCCCTCCCTTATCTATTTTTTTTTCCACGTATTGTCCATATACTGCTGTATTTGATGCTGGCGAATACCAACTGAAGGCATCTGCCTATTCTGTTGGTGTATCGAGTGATTTGTCATATATTCATTTAATTGCAAATGAATATGTACGTGTAAATACCAGGCCATGTATGCAATGTATTCCGAAACAGCGGCTCTGCTTCAAATTCCCAGTCGCTTTTAAAGACTGATTGCTATAAACTTATAAAAGTATACTAACCCGGGAACGAGTTTACGTCAGCAATAAACTTAGTTGACAAAAGCCCGAGGTGATCAAAACGGCGGGGGTTTTTGGCTTTTTTGATTGCATGATGCATCAAAACGAACACGAATCTGAAGTTTATTTACTGCATATGTGTATATGTACGTATGTAGCGGCTTTTTATATTATGATATGGACGTAATTTAATAATTACTACAATATAGTAAAAGTCATGTAATGATACACCACGTATCAGTATAGTATAGTGCATGTCAAGCGTAGATACGAGGCGGAATAAGGGATCTATCTTGTACTGTATTATCTCGGAGATTGAACAGAAGTCATGTTTTTCCACGTATGTATTTTTTCTCTCTCGACGTGTTTGTGCACGTATGTATTTTTTCTTTCTCGACGTGTTTGTGCAACATTTACGTAGTTTATGATTGTTTTGCTGGTCTCGAGAGTGCTGGGTTTAATGACAGTATGCAGTTGTATGCACTTCCTCCTGTACAAAGATATAGTATTCATACAGATATTCATATAGTTACATTTTTTTTTGCTATATATATATATATATATATATATAAATAAATAATATATATATACAGT